ATGGATGGACAGATGGATGGATGGACAGTTCAATGGACGGTTGGATATTTGGATGGTTGGATGGATGGATGGATGGATGGATGGATGGATGGACAGATGGATGGTTGGATGGCTGGATGGACAGATGAATGGATGGATGGTTGGATGGATGGATGGATGGATGGACAGTTCAATGGATGGACAGTTGAACGGTTGGATGGATGGATGGACGACAGCTGAGTGACAGTTTCAGTGGTTGTAATGAAGACTCTGTGTGTTCATCTGTTGTCAGTGTGTTGGACGAGGCGGCTGCGTGTTGAACTCATAATTCAACTGTTCTGTAAACAAGTCTCTCCTCTGAACACCCAGTTCTACCAGCAGGAAACATTTGTTACCACTGCTTTTATGAAAATACACACCAGTTTGAACTTCTGGGCAGGCGGATCATTAACACACACCGTTCCTAAACAAATGTTCTGCCTGTTGAAAGAAGAAACTTTGGGCCCCAGGATTTACACCACGAGCTAAATATTTGTATTAAATTAAACTTAACCCTAAACTAGCTGGGTTTGTAAAGGGCGACTCTCTGTACCATTAAACAGCGTTCGCCACACATTTTACAGCATTGTTCTAATCCAGCCGTCGCTGAACCTCACGTGCACAACCCCTGTTTGAGTTAGTGAGGAGAGCTCTCCTGCTTTACCGGACTTGAATGAGAGATGTGCTCTTCCTCACCTGCCCCCCAGAAGCAAACAAACACATTTACATTTACAACTCACACATTGATAACCAAAGCTTTCTGCTTCTCTACTTCCATACATGCCTTTCTGTTAGTTGGTCTGCAGGCCAGAAGCCTGAATCTTCATTCAAAGGAGGACGAGCACGTTCACACTGAGCTGACATGACCCATAGTCCCCGCCCTTAGAGAATCCCACTGGACCAAACCGTTGTTGACCCTGTGGGAAATAGAAATGATGATGAGTGAGGTATGAAGAGCCCAATGCAGCAGCTTCACTTTCACCTCCCGTCACATCAGATCAGTAGACCTGCTGTAGGTGGTAATGATTTCAGCAGCATTTGCTTGGAGTCTTTTCTCCATCGTCTCCACAAATGTGTCCATCTCATCAATGAGCTTCATGTTTGTGGTGCTCATCATCCCCAGTGGGCCACTGTCTCTAGAGTGCTAAGATGTTCCTCTTGTCAATACTGCTACGACCAGCAGCATCGTGTTAAGAACATAACGCGAGACCAAAGATGCATTCAGGCTGAAAAGTATTATTTCTTAAATAAAGAGTTATTGCAGAGACGAGAGAAACAAGATCAAAGCAACAAATAAGACACAATTACATAAAATCTTTTTTTTCTCCAACTAATTTTATTCATCTTAGTCATGTTTAGTTTTACTGCTGTTGCAAAAAAAAAGATTTAATTTACTGATTGTGTGTTTTATTTATTAGTATAATAAATGTTGTTTTGAGTCAGATTTAGGAGAAAATTCTGACAACTTCATCCATCCATCCATCCATCCATCCATCCATCCATCCATCCATCCATTTCCGTCCTCTTATCCAGGGTCTGGTCGTGGGGGTAGCAGCCTAAGTAGGGAGACCCAGACTTCCCTCTCCCCAGCCACTTGGTCCAGCTCCTCCGGGGGAATCCCGAGGCGTTCCCAGGCCAGCTGGAAACATAGTCCCTCCAGCGTGTCCTCGGTCTTCCTCTGGGTCTCCTGAATTACTAACAAATTTACAGAGTTACAGTTTTTGTGATTAAAAATAGGACAGGGCGGCACGGTGGTGCAGTTGGTAGAGCTGCCGCCTCTCAACGAGCAGGTCGCCGGCACAAATCCTGGCCGGGGGCCTTTCTGGGTGCAGTTTGCATGTTCTCTCCGTGCTGCGTGGGTGTTCTCCGGGTAAGCATACATGTTAGGCTGATTGGTAACGCTAAATTGTCCATAGGTGAGTGAGAGCGTGAACGTTTGTCTCCTTTGTCTCTGTGTCCCTGTGTTGGACTGGAGACCTGGTGTCCCCCACCTCACACAGTAACCTCTGGATATGGACCCCAGTGACCCCCCACAACCCGGAAAGGGAAAAAGCGGGCAAAGATAATGGATGGATGGATGGATGGATGGATGGATGGATGGATGGATGGATGGATGGATGGATAAAACAGGATATGCATTGCTTAATTTTTTTTATTTACCTTTTTTTATACAGGTAGTTTTATTGAGTCACGAGAACTCATTTTCAAGAGAGACCTGTTTGGGAGCAGAAGGTGGGGGTTGAGTGCCTTGCTCAGGGGCCCAGAGTGGGGCAAATTAAGTTTTTAGGTGGGGCGCTATATAATATATACTGTATATATTATATATACTGTATATATTATATATACTGTGTATATATATATATATATATATATATATATATATATATATTTATA